TTGAGCAACAGCAACAAAATATATATGAAAGCAACGGACGATGTGGAGGAGAATGGCAAGTGCAAAGAATGACGCTCGGAGCAACAACAGCAATTCGTTACGACGCAACTAGATACAAGCAGGGACAAAGAAATGCAGGCAAGCAAACGAACCTGGAGAGACTCAAAAACGATTACGAAGTGGGCAGCCGTAGATATCGCATCACACCTTCCACAGGCCCTCTGCGAAAAAAAGGAGCAAACACAACAAACATTCCTTTCTAAATGCTACCTGACATCCCTCTTGCGGCCGGTCGATCTGCTGTACTTTCAAGCAGTGTCTGTACCCGTGAAACAAACAGCAACGGAAGGGACAAGCAGCACAAAAAATTACCCAGTGTTCATCAAGCGGATCTTCCCCTTCGACAGGCAACCCTAGTTGAGAGTCTCCAGGCCTTGTCTCAACGTGTGATGTCTCCAATGTTTCTACATCGTCCCTACTGCACGTATCGGAGACAGCCGTGGGTGCAGGCAAACAGCCTCTCTTTGCTGCAGCAGCAAATGCCACGTTTGTCAGCTGCTGCAATAGCCCCACACACTTGATGACAAGGGAAGACTGTTCGCGTAGCTGCTGTAGGGCCAGCTTCCTTTGCTTCTGCAGCCATATCGAATGGTCTAGCTTGATACGCTGTGCACTCGGCAACAGCCNTTGATACGCTGTGCACTCGGCAACAGCCGCAGCAGCCGCAACACGCACTCGTGCTGCTGTATCTGCGCATCAAGAGCAGCAGCATCCGTTGCTTCCCCTCCCAACAGGGCAGCCTCAGAAGGCGCCACGGAGTCCCATTCACCCAAACGAGAATGCGCATTGCCCGCCTTTTGCCTTGGAGAGGTTGACGACAACTGCAGGGAACCGTCTGGACCCAGAGATACGACGCTTTCTGCTGTTCCTGCTGGCTGTGCCCACGCCTCGTCTTCAATTTGCGTCGTCTTAGCATTGCAGTCCGAATCGAACTGCTTCAAGAACGCATCGACGTCCGGCATGTCTCCTTCAGAAGAACCCAACCCACTCTCAACCGAAGCAGGAGCGTTTGCAGCGGCTTCTTCTTGCTGTTGCAGCAAAAGTAGCCCCAGAAGATCCTCGTCGTCGAGTTCTGCGAGTGCTGCATCTTTCGGCTGCTGTTGGCTAGTGTTGTCATCGACGGGTCCTGCGTCTGCCTCCTGCTGGAGGCATTGTCTGTACGCT